TTTTGCTACTTTGCCAACATTCTTTGTCTACTCTGCCCGTGAATGTTTCACTGTTGCCATGTGCAGTCGTTCTCAAAGGAGTGCGTAGTTGAAAATAGTTTTAAAAACGATAAAGAAAATGAGACAAAGTAGACAGAAACGGAATAGAAAGAGTTGTCATGCTGCAAAAGTAAGAAACGAGTTCCTGAAAAAGAACAAGCAAACAGTGGAAGATGCAAAAAATTCTAATTAATAATAACACAGTATTGAATTTACGCAGAATATTCTGGCTTCAATGTAGTGAACTGCACCGGAGTCCTATACCCGATTCCGACTCCGACTCCGGCGGAGTCGGAGTCGGAATCGGAATCAAAAAACAGAAATTCTCGGAATCGGAGTAGGAATCGGAATTAAGACGAAAAAAATTTCGGAGTCGGAGTCGGAGTAAAAAAACTCAACTGAACTCCGAATTTCGAGCTTGTCTCTGGTGGGTTCACCTGTTTAATATTGAAAGAAATTTTTTTTGAAGTTACTGTTGAACGAGAGAACCTTTTCAGATACCCTTCAGATTCCAATGAATTGTCGTCTACAAATGTTACGTAATGTCCTGGTAAAAACCCTGAAAAAATATGGATTCTCGTCGCTTCCTTCAAAAGCTATACGTATACTTCTTTTACTTCGATAAGATACAACATATACTGTTCAAGAAATGGTTCGCTAGAACACCAATTAATTCAGATCTCATAAAATATTTATTTCTAGTTATTTCGAAGCGCTTGTGAAAAAACACCAAGAAGTACAACCTTGATTTCCTTTGTCATTAGATTATGAAAACAATAAAAAGTTGTTTTTACACACCGATTGTTATTTTGAAAATTTTTGTATCTAATATCGTCTCAATGATCCAGAAAAGAATTTTTAAAAGTGCAGTATCAAGGGTTTATAGAAACTTGATTCAGTTTTTTGCGATGCCATTACTCGTCTAAGTCACGAACAAAAAGGCAAAATAATGACTACGAAGCATACACTCCTTTTTTTTGTGAAAGTACTATCAACTACTAACAATCATTGTTATGAAAACTGGTATACCACATTCTATAGAGTATTCTATTCTGCCCCTTTTAAGACCTTTTCTGGATTTATAAGACGGTCTTAGAGAAAAATATTTTCGAAATAGCCATTAATATTTAAAAACCAGCTTTTAATACATTTTCATGATATAAGCATGAGGAAAGCAAAGATTGTGCTTCTTAATACTTCTTACAAATATTTCAAAATAATTTGATATTTCGAATTTATAAATTTCTTAATATAATCTTTCATACATGGAAATAAATATGACTTAATTAGTGGTCTGACAAACCATCTCTTGAACGTTATAGGTTATGTTTTGTAGAAGTAAAATAAAGATACATATAACCTACGAAGGAAGCTACACGAACCCAAATCTTTTTTTAGGACTTTAACTAGAACTTAATGTAATATCTATGGACAAAAAAATCATTGAGATCCGAAGGGGGCATTTGAAAAAAATTCTCTCCTAAGTCACAAAAAATTTTCGGAGTTTTTCGGAGTCGGAGTCGGGGTACGAAAAAATTTCTGACCGGAGTCGGAGTTGGAATCGGAATCGCAAAAACAATATTTTCGGAATCGGGTCGGATTTCGGAATTGAAGAAAAAAAAGTTTAGGAATCGGGTCGGGTTTCGGGATCAAAAAATGCGACTCCGCAGTTCACTACTTCAATGACTTTACTGTGGTGAGCAAATTATTCGAAAAGTGAAAGAAACTGTTTTGGGTGTTATATACTTAGTGCCAAGATGCTGCGAGTATTCGGAAACGATTGATACTGATATGATATTGATAACCATGATCAATTTAACTTAAACCGATCGATTCGTCAATGTATATCAGTTAGCAGTCGCGTTCATTCATTATTTAGCAGCTGCCTCATATTTGTTTGAACTTTTTATTCAACTCGATTCTATGTTGTTGTCTGTATTGAACATGATTTGTCTATTTCCTTTTTTTCTTCCATTATATTCGTCAATTTCAGTTATTAAAGAAATAAGAAAACAGGGTGTGAGAGTGGGGTGAAGAGTGATCTTCTTTTAAGTAACGGCGACACTCACTCTCACCTTACTTGGAGAAGAAAAGGTATAGCGTGCTGACAAATAAAATAGTAAAACTGAGAACAGCTACGTAGTCATAAATGTTGAGCTGGCTTATCTTGGAGAATACAAGCCTTTTTGTTTATACAAATTCATTTTACTCATACATCGTCTAAGAAAGCGTCTTCCCGAGGAGATGATTCATGTCCCTTGACGAGAATAATCCTTTCCTTTTGCAAGCGTTCAAAACAAAGTGCATGCGATTCTCATGTCAAAGGGACAGGCTTTAGAAGAACTACAATTTCTTTGTTTCTAATTATTTAGATGGCCATGGTTAGTCTACGTTCTGTTAATTCTTTTATCAATGGCAATGACGATAATCTTGAAATTTTCAGTCTAATCTGGCTTGATACAAATGTTCACATCGAAGAAAATCAAGAAACACAACAAAGGATGCGTTCGATCATCAATGATCTCAAAACATTTCACGATGCAGAAGAATGTAAACAATATATACAGCAAAGACCGAAACATGATCGATTAGTGCTCATTGTTAGCAATCAATTCGCTCGACAAGTAGTACCTTCCATTCATAAACTTCGACAAGTGTCAGCAATCTATGTTAGATTCACAGACAAGACGAGCGATGCACAGTGGGCACACGAGTTCGTCAAGGTAGGATTGCTCTGACTAGTTTCAGCCTCGTTATTCTACCAGTTTAGGTGAAGTTCATTGTTACGGAACCGGAAGAACTGGTTTCTCAAATTAAAGTAGATCATAAGAATCAGATGAAGATGCAAGAACCATTGTCAATCAACATATTTACTACAAGCAGCGATGCAGGGAAGTCTACAACAGGAATCAATGGTCAATTCGCTTTTTCTCAATCACTTATCGATTGTCTTCTTTGATTGAAACTCAATGAGATGGACAGAAAAGAATTCATTTCTTGTTGTGAGAATGAATACAAAGGTAATCATGTTGAACTCGACAATCTGTGTGAATTTGAAAATGGTTACACATCCGACAAAGCTTTGTGGTGGTACACTCGTGAGTTATTCTTCTACAAAACTCTGAATGCGACTCTACGCAAGCAAAATATTCATATGATTTTCTTGTATCGTTCCTTTATTGCCGACATATATCGTCAGTTACAGCATTATCAATGTCAGCGCCCTGTTCAAGTTTATCGAAGTCAGCTGATGTCCATCGATGAGCTAGATTATCTCAAACATAGCATTGGCCTGTTCGTTTTGGTAAATTCATTTCTTTCCACCAGTAAGCGACGTCTAATAGCTGATTTCTATATGGATAATAAGACCCAACAGATCGATTTACAACCAGTTCTATTCGTGATTGATGCTAATCCGAAGGTGGTCTCGACGAAACCATTCGCTGACATCGGTACTGTAAGTCATTTTGTTCATGAATCCGAGATACTCTTAATGCTTGGTTCCATTTTCCATCTAAACTCTATTGATCAAGATGGCGATAAAGTGTAGATAATAGGAATGTCCTTGTGTGACGATGACGAACACAATTTGAAAGAAGTTCTTGCAGACATGAAGAAGCAAAACGGCACTGGAGAAACGAGTTTGTGGGCGTTGGGCAAGTTATTATGGAATATGGGCAAACTTGATCTGGCTGAACAGTACTACATTCGTTTGTTACAAGAACTTTCGCCGAATAATTCTTCACTTCGCAGTTTGTATGCCGATCTCAGTCTGATTGCTTCACAGCAAGGTGGCTACGACAAGAGTGTGCAGTGGCGCAAAAAATCACTGAAACTCAGAGAGCAAACTACAGAATTTGATAGTATCCAAAAAGGTGAGACCATCAAAGTTATTTGTAGATTTCGCGAACTATGATCACTCACTAGTCAGCAACACGTCAGTATTAAAAGTAATCTTTTTTGAAGGGTGCGAGTATTAGTCTTCTATTCTGACACACTCACTCATATTCACTTACACTCTTCTCACATACTTGTCATGACATTCGAAGGCTACACAATTTTTAACTAAAGCAGTTACGTTCGTCATCAGCTATTTGATTTTGGAAGAAATCTCAGCTTTGCCCGATGAAATCTAAAAATAAACTATGCAACATAGTCGATATCTACAAAGGAACTTGTTTGTACGTCTACTGAGTTTTCTAGGAAATTCTGATAGTTTTGATCCTTTTTTTAAACAAGAACGCTAACTGATTTAGTTTGATTGCACAAGAAAAGAATAGTCTTGTTGATCACACTTTTGTCATAGTATATCTTCCAGTAACTTTGATGAACATCATATCCATTAATGATAGCAACTACCACAAACTGAAGAAATAGCTTACCACCACCCTCGATGCTGATGTCTATTGAGTTACTGTCTATCTTCAGTATGTCACTACTTAATATACAACACACATTTATATAGACGAGAGCGAGAAACAGAAAACAAAGATTACTGTGAGGTAATATCCATGTCGGTACACTATCATAGTTAATCAAAATAACTGTCATTAATATTAGACAATCTATACCAATGTCTGGCAAGTATTGTGATAGATGTCGCTTTACTTTTCTGAAAAATATCTTTTATTAATGATCATAATTATTTTGTCTTTATTTTAATTGAAAAATAATTGAACATTAAGTTAGAATAAAAATAAAATATCAAATTATCGCCATCTATCAAAAAGATATTTATTTAATTTTCCTAATTTAACCATAACTTCCTGGATCGATTGAGATTTATTTCTAATCAAACTATTCCTTCCAAAAAAAAAAAACTCAATATTTTTTTATTAAACTGACTCAATATTTTTTGTTTTTCGTTAATATCAAATATTCAATTTCATTAATCTAATACAAAATTAATTTATCTTATTTTTAAATCCATAATTACCATGTCGGAATCGTTTATCTTGAGTATGTTCAGTTTAGCTATGTTTCTTGGCTCATATTTATCTGGTCTTATTCCACTTGCATTCAATCTTTCTGAAGTAAGTTATTAATTTTATTTATCAATTAATAAAAAGAAAAGGAAAAACAAATCTTTTAGACAAAAATGCGTTATGTTACTGTACTTGGTGCTGGTCTATTAGTTGGTACAGCATTAGCTGTTATTATACCAGAAGGTGTTCATGCACTTTATATGAGTGAATTAGAAACAAATCAAATGCAAACTCAACATGAATTTCATTCTGATCATAAAATAGTTCGTCGACATTTAAATCAAATTGATCATGGTATTAAAGTCCCTATTGCAAGTGATGTTAAAGTCGATAATGATATAAAAGGTGATGCTTTACCACCAGCTCATCAACATACAGCTGATCGACCAAGAGAACTAGGTTCAGAAATTGGACATAAACATTCAGATACAACACATTCAGCTATTGGTATACGTTTATATATGTTATATGAATATAAGAATTCATTAAATTTTATTTAGGTGTTACACTTATACTTGGTTTTGTATTTATGCTTATTATTGATAATTGTGGTTCAAGAATTATTCGACATCATGGAACTCAAAGTATTTTTTAACTAATTATTAAAAAAAAAACAAAGTTTTTTTTTTCTTTAAATCTATTTTGATTAGTTCTGGATTCATCGGGTGCAGTTATTATATCTAAACCAAAAGCAACCTGGACAGCAACATTAGGTCTTGTGGTACATGCAGCTGCTGATGGTATTGCATTAGGTAATAGAAAAAAGAAAAACAAAGTATAACTTTTTCTTTTGAAGAGAAAACTAAAAATGTCTTTCGTTTAGTTTTTTTTCATACATAGTAGTCATGTATGAATATTTAATTTACAATCATTCAGCAGTAATAATTAAAAATTTGCGATAATTCTTAGTATAGATATTCTATTTTATCCTACTTTTATTGTATTAGCAATAGGATTTAAAAGAAAAAAATAATCAACTGAAAAATTTTGAGAAAAAGATTTTTGTTTAACATTAAGTTATAAGAGTACTTAAGTGACTTACTCAATCGTATTTACTTCTCAATAGATTTAAGTAATACAAGTAAGAAGAAAAAAAAAACAGCTTGTCCAAAAAATAGATTTATACCATTAACTGCATTTGTTACACAGGTATATAGAAAATGTCGAAATCGAATCACCAGATGTCCATTGATTTGAATGGCATTGTTTACAGATATATATATATAGGCAGTAAAAATATTCTTTCTTTTGCGAAATTTTTTATTATCTTGGATTGTTTATCTCTATGTTGACAAGATCCGATGTTCGAAATATTTCGATTAAGGTAAGATAGAAATAACGTATGAAGTCTGCAAACTAACGATTTTTTATTTTTGATTGATTATATTCTTAATAATAAGTTTTTTCAAAAAAACAAAAGAAAATCTAATTTAGGTGCAGCATCAGCGACAAGTCGATTTAATGTTGAATTAATTGTATTTATGGCAATTATGCTTCATAAGGTTATTATTATTATTATTTCATATTAAGTATTAAATAAATTTTGGTTTTAGGCACCAGCTGCATTTGGTCTCGTTTCATTTTTAATGTCTGATGGTGTTGATCGTAAACGAATACGACGTCATTTATTAGTCTTTTCTTTAGCTGCTCCTCTAATGGCTATATTTACTTTTGTACTATTAAAAAGTGTATGTTTATAATTTTTCTTATTTAAGAAAATTTTCGTTTTTGTTTTTTCGTTTCTGTAGAGAATTCGTGACACCTATTCAGTTGATTCAACTGGTTTAGCTATGTTATTTAGTGCTGGTACATTTTTATTTGTTGCAACAGTACATGTTTTACCTGAAGTACAATCTCATTATGATGATCGACAATTTCGTGCCATTGAACTTCTTATTCTTATTATTGGATGTTGTTTTCCTATTATTCTTTCAATGGGACATAAGCATTAGAGAATATAAATAAAAAATACAAAAATTCTTTTTCTTTTTTGTTCTAAATTGTTCTTGTCAAATTATATATATATATATATATATATATATATATAAATGTACTATGTTTGTTTTCTTTTTTTTTGTTCTCTTCTATTTAAAATCTATATAGTATTATTGTTGTCTTTTGTTTTTAGATCATTTTTCTATTTTGTTTTCAATGGCTGATGATATATATGTTGTTGAAAAAATTCTTAATAAAAGAATACTTGAAAATGGTGAAATAGAATATTTTTTAAAATGGTTTGGTTATAGTGAAGATGAAGCAACATGGGAACCGGAAGAAAATGTTTTTTGTAAAGATTTAATACGATTATATGAAAAAAGTGTAAATATTAATGAGAATATAGTAAGTTAAAAATAATAACATTTTATTTATAATTAATCGTTTTGTTTTTCTAGGATGATGAATGTAAATTAATTATTTCTCAAATTCTCGGTGAAATTGAAAATCTTTTTGAAACAGGTAATTTTATAATGTAAATAGTTGAGCAATACATTAAAGATGAATCAAAAGAGAAGAAACAGCAAACTTCAAACTCTCTCTCCCGATGAGCATGTTTTCACTTAATAGTAGTCTTACGGATTCCTGAAATATATTAACAACTATCCTCATGTAATAATAATCATTTTGATTAATCTAAATAATTTGAAATAAAAGTTATCTCTAGCGGAATTTTGAAGAAATTTGAATTCACTCTATTTCTAATCTATACAGTGAGATGAATTGCTCTATTCAAATAAAAACAAAACAAAAAAAGAAAAGAAAAGTCTTTTTATTCTATGATTGTATATTTGATTTATTGCTATTTTTCAGTCTCTTCGAACAATGTAAGTATGGATGATCTATCAATCAATTATTGTTTATCATCCACAAATATATCTACTACAACAATGGATGAATATCCAAATACTACTGATAAATCATTACTGTCCGATATTCATAGTATGAAAATCCTTCAAAACAAAAAAAAAAAGAAAAGGATCTATTACTTTTGTTTTTTTTTATTTTCCAAATTTAGATGAAAAAGAAAATGGTATATCTACAAATAATGATATGGAAAATGGTATATTGAAAATAAAACTAATTGGTATAGGAAAAAAAACAATACTAAAATATTTTCTTTTTTTTTTGATATCTAGAAGAATTACAATTAAAAAATAAGAATTTAGAAGTAAGATATTTAAAGAAGAATAGATTTTGTTATTTTTTTTTAAATAAAATTTATTTCTATTTAGTCATCATCTAATATAAAACGCCGTCGAAAACGAACAAAAACTACATCATTTACACGTAGAAAAAAATCTCGATCTGATTCTATTCATAATAAATCAACTATGGTTGATGAAAATGCTAATGATATTCAAAGACAAGAACGAATAGAAATACCAAATCATACAATAGATTATCTTTCACTGGAACCTGAACGTATTGTTTCAATAACACGTTCACGTTTACCAACTGAACAACTTGAATTTCTTTTAAAATGTAAAACATGTCCAACAAAATTATATTTTATTTCAAATGAAAAAGCAAAAGAACTTGTACCGGATTTATTAATTGAATTTTATGAACGACATATTAATTGGTTTATAGATAAACCATCATCATCATCATCATCATTATCATCATCGAGGCAAAAAAAATCTAGACAAGATAGTTATTCGACTAATCGAAGCAATACAAATAGAAAAAAATCTTGAATATATATAGATATCATTTTTCATTCTCTTTTTTGTTGTTGTTGTTGTTATTGTTGTTATTATTGTTCATTTACTCTATTATAAAAGTGTACAAAACAAAAAAAAAACAAAAGAATTTTCTTTTTTTTGTGTATATTCAAACGAAGAAAAATGTTTGATAAAGATTGTGAAAAATAAAACAATGCAATGAATTGTTTTAAGTTATTAGATGTACTCGAAAGCAGGGATAGACGAGTCCGAGTTTTGACTCGGACTCGAGTCACATTTTTTTACTGACGCGGACTCGACACGTAGGATATCTTAGGTCAGGATTCGAGTATATCCTGGAAATATTCGCCATAACAGTGACTCCAAATTAGATCACATTGGCTCCAAGTAGAACTCGACGAGCTCTACCGACTCCAATAATTACTTTCTCCAAAGCCCCCCCCTCCCCTCAAACCGGAGAAAAGTCCAAAATACCGCAAAAAAATGCTAAAAAAACCCATATAGTTTAGAAAGATCCGTCGTGATTCGCACCTGAGTGGCTCCAACAAAAACCAAATATACCAATCGATAGATCTCGACAAGCTCTATCAATTCCACATCCAATTCTTTCAATTCGACTCAACCATTAATTAGGAAGCCGCCACTAACTTCTTTGATGTTTACCACTGTGGCGATTCGTCAATCAATCGACTCCAACAAAACTGACGATACCATTAGGTAGATCTTGACGAGCTCTATTCAATCCACATCTCACTCGTCAAATTCGAGCAACTCATTATTGAGAAAATCCCTAATTACCTCTATAGCTACTATATTCATATATACACATAGGATAATTCCCGAAAAACTTTATCTCACTCCTTCATGAGTCGACTTCAACCAAACTAAGGATGGCTTCAGATAGATCTCGATGAGCTCTATCGATCCACACATCATTTTCCGCATTCGAGCAAGCCATCACCGAGAAAATCTCTAATTAATCTTTTGTTCATACATAAGGTGGTTAGGAATTGGGAATACCGATCCAAAATTCTTCATGAGTCGGCTGCAAGAAAACTAAAGATTGCTCCAAATAAGTGTCGACGAGCTCTATTCATTCCATACCTCACTCGTCAAATTCAAGCAAATTATCACCGAGAAAATCCCTAATTAATCCTTTGTTCATACATATGATGGTTAGGACTTGGGAATACCGATCCAAAATCCTTCATAAGTCAGCTGCAATAAAACTAAAGATGGCTCCAAATAAGGGTCGACGAGCTCTAACCATTCCATACCTCACTCATCAAATTCAAGCAAACCATCACTGAGAAAATCTCTAAATAATCCTTTGTTCATACATATGGTGGTTGGAACTTGGGAATATGGATCCAAAATCCTTCATGAGTCGGCTCGAACAAAACTAAGAATGACTCCAAATAAGTGTCGACGAGCTCTATCATTTGCATACCTTAATGTTGATGGTACATCAACAGTTTTATTGCACTCGACTCTTGAATCAGTCTTCAAAGATTTTTTTGAAAATCCTATCATTATCAACATTAAGGTATGCAAATGATAGAGCTCGTCGACCCTTATTTGGAGCCATCTTTAGTTTTCTTGCAGCCGACTCATGAAGGATTTTGGATCGGTATTCCCAAGTCCTAACCATCATATGTATGAACAAAGGATTAGCTAAGGATTTTCTCGGTGATGATTTGCTTGAATTTGGTGAGAAAGGTATGGAATGGATAGAACTCGATGAGATCTATGTCGAACCATCCTTAGTTTTGTTGAAGCCGACTCATGAAGAATTTTGGATCGGTATTCCCAATTCCTAACCACCTTATGTATGAACAAAAGATTAATTAGGGATTTTCTCGGTGATGACTTGCTCGAATGCAGAAAATGACGTATGGATCGATAGAGCTCATCGAGATCTATCGGGAGCCATCCTTAGTTTGGTTGAAGTCGACTCTTGAAGGAGTGAGATAAAGTTTTTCGGGAATTATCCTATGTGTATATATGAATATAGCAGCTATAGAAGTAATTAGCGATTTTCTCAACAATGAGTTGCTCGAATTTGACGAGTGAGATGTGGATTGAATAGAGCTCGTCAAGATCTATCTAATGGTATCGTCAGTTTTGTTGGAGCCGATTGATTGACGAATCGCCACAGTGGTGAATATCAAAGAAGTTAGTGGCGGCTTCCTAATTAATGGTTGAGTCGAATTGAAAGAATCGGATGTGAAGTTGATAGAGCTTGTCGAGATCATTTTTGTGTTTAAAAACACAGTCAAAATTTCTCATGTGGACAGACCTTGAAACAAGTGATCATCTTGCCGTTAGTCTTCTTATACACACAAGGAACATACCATAATTATAAAAATGAATAAGATATAAACGTATTCAGAAATTTATCAAAAAATAATATTCATTTATTGATCATTCAAATAACGAAAGTACAATAAAGAAATTTTTTTTTTCCATCAATTACATATGTAGAGGTATGAAAAAGAAAATAATATTTGATATCTATAAGCAAGATTTTTCATAATCTTAAAAAAGTCGTCAAATTTTGTCTTGATTGAACTATTTCATTTTTTTTTTCTAAATTTTGTTCATCCAATAAAAAAAAAAATGAACATACTCATCAGACCTAAACGCATAACAATGTCCGTCCATGCATATATATGAGCTATATATATTCAAAAAAAATGCATCTATACAGGTCAGTTCAATAATAAAAGAATGAACAAAAGCACATTCGAATTATTACCCAATGAAATTTTACTCATTATATTTCGTTATTTATCTTCATTTCATTTGTGTCAAGCCTTTCTTTATGTAAAAAATACTAGGATCGAACATCTTCTTACGTCCATACGTCATTCATTAGATGTTAGTTCAATGCATTATGATCAATTGTACCAATTTCTCAGCAATATTAATAATGATACTACAAAGCGTTTTACTGCTTTGATAGATACTCTTGTACTCCGTGACGGACTAGGAGCTTGTTTAATGTTATTTAACTATTTGAAAAAAAATTTAAATGATAATCCACTATTCATAAACATGATGTTACCATCAATAAAACAACTTGTTATATTGAATGCAGAAGATTATTCATATATACTGATTAAACCATTATTAACATCTTTAGCATTTCATAACAATACAGTACAACGTTTGTATCTTGTATTTGACAGGCCTACCTATTCATACTTTTCAATACTTTCTTCGCTCATTTCTTACCGTATTTCAATTCATACAATGATATTAGAAGT